ATTCTTCAATAGGGAAAAAGATGTCCCTTCTCATTGATTTATTTATTCAATTTATATCAGTATGGACTCGTAGATATTTACATTATTCTATGGGTTATAATCCAATAACATCAGAGGTTCAGAATTTTAAACTGTAATAATACCCTATTTCTTTTTTCTTTGTTTGTTTCACAGATTCTCTTTCCTACCATGACTATAGTAGTGTATAGTTCATTGTAACATGTCTGTTTATTCCATTCTTCTTTTATTGTTTCTGTTGATTTTTCTTCTCAGTCTTAACCATGACTTCTCCTTTTAAAAATTCTGTCTCTAATATTGTGTCATCCTTTATTAAAAACTTGTTATCTTTTCTCTCCTCCCCTCCCCCAGTGTTGTCATTTCCCCCCATCGCCTTCCCTTATTTCTCTTTACTTTTTGTATAGGGGCTGATGGGCAGAGATATTTTGTCCAGTGTGAACAAAGATAAATTGCCTCTTCCCATCTTTTGAAAATAGTCCATTTGGTCTTTTGACTTTCAAGATGAATGTGAGCAAATTAGAGGAGTCATTCTCTATTTTGCCATCAATTTTCAGCAGGCACTGAGTAAGGTGTCTGTTAATGACACAGTAATGGGTTCTACTTCTTTTTGTTGTGTTATTGTGATTGACTTCAGAGAATGAGTGACAATATTTTTTGAACAATTACTGATTCCATCAGTCTTTGAACTAAAAATAATTTAGAACAACACATATCTTACTGCAAGAAAATTAAAGTAAAATTTTTTCTTTTGTATCTCTGTATGACAGTTGCTTAAATCGCCCTTATACTCTTATAGTTAGATCTACATCAAATATATATATATTCCCTATTCTAACCAGAGGTTATAAATCTGACTTTCTTTTTCGGGTACATCAAAATATATGTCCATGACACATATTTTATTGTGGTTGTAGAAGAGAACTCTTTTTAGGAAAAGAACAGAACCATAAACTCTTTCTGTGTTCCTTGGAAATTTCTAACAAAAGCTTATTCAGAACATTTTTTGTTACTTTGAATTGCTAAAAATATCTTTACAAGGATAGACAATGGGAATTATACTTCAGTGAGACAGCAAGCAGTGAAACATACCTAATTGTACCTATATACTTTAGAGAATGGGCTTAGATCTTTGAAATTCTGAATGGTTCATTATAACCAACAATAACAAGTAGAAAGCAGAGACCTTTCAAACTAAAGATTTTGCAAATTCAGCAGTGGAAAACTTTAAAACTTTGTGTGTCATTTAAAAGTACCTAGATTATTAAATAAAGATAAAACATATACATGCATCTCAAAAGTATAAATTAATATTTATGTTATTAAACATTAATTAAAATTCCCTATATGTAAAAATCCCGAGGCCATCCATTTAAATACTAACAACCCAGAAAATAAGTGTTCTGAGATTCTTTCCTATTCAAAGAATCATTAATTAAAATTAAAAACAATTTTCATTCCCAAGAGCAGAAATAGGAATATCAAATAATAACCTAAGAAAGAAATGGGAAGGAGGCAAGTTTTAGCTTACGAATATTAATGAAACTCTTTACTAAATAAACATGTGGATGTCATAATCCTGTATAGGAAGACAATATGGCAAAGTTGTGATAGCTACCTCAAGGTAATCTATGCATTTAAACCCATTCCAAGCCAAATCTTAAAAGATATTGCTTGAACTTGACAGCTTTCAAATAGCCTACGTAGTATAGATGAGTGATGTTCATTCTTTTAAGTGTAGCTGGAATGCTTTTTTACGTCACCCAAGTTTTTCAATGTATCTTGGTTAAAACTCAGCGGTAAAATTTCAACATAATTTATTTCAAATTTGGTACACCTTAGTAAGATATTTAGAATCATTTTGTAAAGTAGAAGGAGATATTTATATCAATAATGATGATCCTAATTTTATTTTATGTTATAAAATGTTTAATGTTTTCTATCTCCTACTAACAAAAAATAAAACTACATGGCAGTTTCCAGACCGATTACATTTTAGCAGTATAGGATTTTCTCTTTCTCCTTTTTTCAGCATACAGGAAATGTTAGATCACGGTAGCTAATGAACTCAATTGAATTATGTCTGATATTTATATTTGATTCACTTTTAATTATTTCCAAGAGCTGAAGCCCAAAGTTCATTACCCAGGCAGTGGTAGACTGAATTAGTCTGAATGGCATCCATTCTCCATTCCTTCCTGTATCCGTGTCCTTAACCACGCAACTATACCATGTGCTCTCCCTGTGACCCAGCACGATTTCCCACTCCTAGGTTTGGCCCTGCGACCTACTTTGGCCAATAAAATAAGAAAATAGTATGCCAACTTCTAGCCTAAGCCACAAGAGGCTTACGTGTTTGGAAACACTTGCTCTTTTTTGATTCTGCCATCGCCTTGTGAAGGACATGCCCAGGTTAGCCTGCTCATCTTAGAAAAACAAGAGACATGTGCAGAAAAGCTAAGCCACCAACCCTCTGAGCCCAGCCTAGATCAGCTGACTACCAGGAAAATGAAGGAACCTAGTTAAGAAGAGAAGACGAACCCAGTCCAGGCTAGCCTAGATCAGCTGATACTAGAAACAAATGCAAGAAATAAATGTTTATTGTCCTAGGACACTGATGTTGCATGCCTGGTTGCTTTGCAACGGTACTGTACCCTTAGGTAACTGATAAACCGACACAGGTACTGAAGGATTGCCAAGATTTATATTATCCCTTCTGCTTTATAAAGAACTTATAGTTTATAACTAAATATTTCACTAAACTATGACAAATTAAGTAATAAGAAACAGCTTACTGATTTATTATTTTCATAACACATTAATTATTCGTGATTGACATCATTTTAATCCTAATGACTGCCTTTGGCAATCTCCTTATATATAATTTATTTCCTCAAGCCTTTTTATAATAACACTTGAGAAGTGTATTAATACGTTTGTTTGAATCGAAACACGAAGGCAGAATTTTTCTGACAGAATGTAAGTCTGATTAGCTTGGGGATGCCTGGCTGATTAGGCTGTGGGGCAGACATTCTCCATAAATTTAATAGGTTAATTCTGCAATACCAAAATATTGATAAAAATATATTTAAAGCATATAATAAGATAAAAAAGAATTTAATACAAAAATATTGTATTAAAAAGAGTGTAATGAAATAGCATTTGGATTTGTTCTAACCCTTTTGGGTATATTGGGTTAAATAATTCACCACTAAATAAAAGAATAATAGGTATAATTTATAGTCATTTGGTATGTGTTTGTAAAGTTTTTGTTTGTTTGTTTTTTGGTTTACATCCCAGATATTGAGAAAGCATGGACAATGATGACTGGGCAATAAATCATTTTTCAAATCATGTACTTTCTAGTTCTTTGCTATTGCCAATTCAAAATGGGACTTAATTAAAAATTGCTAAAAATAATTTTTGGTGATATATCACTGGGATTTTGGACTTCAAATATGTGTCAACCAGACTATAATTAAAAATAATTTTTGATGATAGATCACTGTGATTTCTGATATTTAAGGAATTGAGTGACGCATCTATGAAAAAGAAATAAAACTTCCTCCCATTCCCCTCTGCTGATTTTTTTGAAAATAATTTCTCTGTGTTCACATCTATAAAATCAAAACAAATCAAAATACAATTCGCGCAGGACTCTGTCCCACTCTGCAATTTCTTACACATTCACAGAGATAAGAACTAATTGAAAAAAATACCACTAATCTCAATAAGAAATGTATTTCTAATAAAATTCTACTTCTGACAGTCAGAAATTATATAGCGATATCAATACTATATTTATAATGCACAGTAATAATTGTAATGACTCAAGCCAGAAAAAAATTTAATATTTATAACCCTTTAAAGAATTTTCCACTTTTCATATGTATCTTTTCTTTGCAAAGAATAAAGGAAAGATTATCAATAAAAGTCTTTCAAAAACGAAAAATAAATTATATTAAGATAAAATTTTATTGTTAAACAATGGAATGGAAATATGAGTTCAAGGGGAAATAAAAACCAAAGATGTGAAATTCCTAAATGTCAAAGAACAAATTGTTGATGTATTGTTTTGAATTGTGATATTTGAATTTCACTAGATATTTAGAAGAGTATTATAACCCTATTTTAAAATCAAATGCCATAAATTATATCTATTTAAACTCATTAAGGAAAATCTTAGATGTCAAGTAAAAAATGTTCAAGAGGATACAAAAGTTATTTTAGGCTCTGGGAAGCTCTGCCACTCTGTAAACAAGCATGAGTATGGATAACGCATATGAGATGAATAGGCCAATAATTACAGATAAAACCCTGACACATTATATTTATGGATCGTGGCTAATTTTTTCTGGGCATTTATCATGTTGCAAGTGCTATTCTATCTACATTCAACAACTCATTTAATCTTCACATTACATCATGAGGTAGACACAACTGTTAGCCAATTTTACAGATTAAAACTGGGACTCAGAAGGGCTAATTAATGCACCCATGGTTATATAGTGAGTGAGATTGGCATAAAAACACAGACGGTCTGATTTAATATCCCACTAAGTTTGGAAGCTGCCCCAGCCTTTCCCCTTTTCGCTTTCCTGGTAACCCTTCCTCTTTTCCCGCAAAACTTTCATTAATGCCTCTACCACTCACTCCACTCTGTACACATAAATAAAAAATAGGAAAGATATATGCTAAAGATTAACACTGATGAGGGGTTATCCAGTGATTTTTATTTTTTTCTTTCTTAATTACTGACATTTTCTAAATTATGAGAAAAAAAATTGTCAGGTTAGCTCATCATTCAGGTTCAGCAAATAGTCATTTTATTTCCCCCAACTCCATGGAGAAGCAAGCATCCCTATCCCATCAGAGCTGGGCTTGGCCAGGGACCTTGCTTAGGCCAGAGGAATGTGGGAAGAACTGACTGAGTGCCAGTCCTAACCCAAGGCTTCAAGAGGCATCTCTCATGTGTACCCACTCACCTAGGCGCTTCTGACCTCTGCCAGGAGAAGATGTCTCAGGTAACTGTACCCTCCAGCTTGGGTCCACCCACAGAGCGTAGCCAGAAGAAGAGATACCCTGGTCTACCTGTAGAAATGTGAGAAAGAAAGACATGCCAGCTGTATTTTGGGGTCGGATTTTGCACCACAAAACTGGCAGAGTATATGCCTACTGCATTTTAAACTCTCTACTTTATCATGCATCATACACAGTTTCTTTCCTCCCAAAATAACAAACTTATGAACTGCCCCTTTCAGTACTTCGGAGTTTTCAATCATTGACATTACTCATGAATCCCCACTGTTTTTGTTCTGTGAACATCGAATTCATTCATAGGTGTTTATTTATCCACGTAAATTAGATGTTGATACAACAAAGAAGAACTAGAGCTAGAAGTCATTTCCTAAAGCACTTACATTCTGCACTCTTCCTCTGCACAGCCTTGCTGTACCCCATATGGAGAAAGCTGGCTGTGCAACTCCATTCTGTCTGCACTTAAAACAGCCATGGGTTGCGAGGAGAGATCCTGCTGGCAGCAAACAGTGAGGTGCGATTTCAACTTTCTGGCAGTTACATGCACTTGGTTAAGACCTGGCACACTGTGGTCCTGTTTTTCAGTGTGCCTCTAGTAGGAGGGAAATCCAGGCTTTTTTTTTTTTTAATTTTGATTTGTGATTATAAAACTTTGGAGATTTATCACTTCTCCAACTAGTGTCAGGTGGTCATTTTCCTAAGTGAGACGCAGTCCAGATCAGCCTGTCTTTTGTAAGAGTGAGGCATGGCTGTGTGTTTGGGAATGAGAATCAAACTGTAACTGAAGGTTTTTTGTTGTTTGTTTACTCATTATCCTGGCCTGTTTAGACAGGGAGTTTCAAAAAAAAAAAAAAAAAAGAACCGAGACACAATGCATCTGAGTTAACCAAAGAAGCCACCCGCAATTCAGACACCAGCAGTCAATTGACTGAGATAGAGGGTGGGGATGACGCAAGGTTGCTAACAGATGGCTTCCTAACAGAGGACTGGCAGGCTGGGCTATGTTCAAGCTTAAGCTCTTATTCTGTTACTCTCATGACGTCCCAGTTTGCTTGACGAAACACCATTGGAGATCATCAATCACTGAGAGAGTCCAGGATAAAGCTTCTAGGAAGTTGCCTCCTGCTCTTCAAAGAGAAGACATTTACCAGGGATTGTTGATTAGAAGGCATTTCAATGGAAAATATTCCTTCTGCAAAGGGAGGCTGTGCCTTTAATTATCTCACTTGGTAGGCAGTCTCTACAGTTAAAAGGTGTATATATATATATATATATATATATACATACACACATGATATATCTATATCATTAGTGGGGCAAAATTCTAAAGTCAGATTTAAAATAATGATTACAGATTAAAGGAGTAGTTAATGATCATTTACAAGTTCTATAATTTATTATTTTTGACAGAAACAACTTCTTTGAAAGGAAATAACATTAATAAAGCCTTTCAGATTTGACCTTTTAATGGAAGTAAAATTGAGTTATATAAATTCTATTAATGGTAATGGATGATTTCCAGCTAAATCGCTCTCTGACATTATGGAAAACTGCTCATTTCCAGAATCACTTTCTGTAAAGGAATTGTTGAAAATGGTTTAGTTCAGTGAAGTCAGTTAACTGAGATTATCTGGTTTTAAGCTACAACAAAAATAAGTAGAAAAATTGTGATACCGGTCCTGTATTTTGTGATGTAAAAGAACTTCTGAGCAAGGTAATTAACTTCCAAAGGCAAAGGTGTTTTTTTGCAATTCATGTACAGCACAGTGCCTGACAAAAACATCTTCAACAATGTCTTCTTAAACTAAATCTACTAGACCTCTTTAATTTTTCTGTTTATTAGAGAAGTTATTAATTTGATATCTGATCTCATCCTGTTCTTTATAATTTTTTCTTGAATTTCTAATTTAGAAAGGAAAGAGCATCCATTTTAAAAAAGGAAGGAATTTCTAATATTTAGTGAGGAGTAATCAGATATAAACATCAAGCACAATTCAACTGAGTTCAGAGGCTACCATGATCTCACATTCCCTGTATTCCGAAAAGAGGAGAAAAGAGAAAATCATATACTGCTAAAATTTAATCAATCTGGCAACTGGCATGTAGTTTTATTTTTGGTTGGCAGAAGATAGAAAACTTTAAACATTTTATAACATGAAATAACATTAGGATCACCATTAATTGGTATAAATATCTCCTTTTACTTTTCAAAATGGTTCTGAATATCTTGTAGAATAAGGTGTACCAAATTTGAAATAAATTATGTTGAATTTTACCTCTGAGTTTTAACCAAGACACATTGAAAAAGTTGGTGACATGAAAAAAAAGGAAGGAATTTCTAATACTTAGTAGGGGGAGTTACTGTTGGATTAAGTAGACATTTGCCTTGGAGGTGAGAAGTTTGCATGAAAGGGGCTGAAACAGAATCACAGCCAAAGCTGTTTGCCCAGATATGAACTCTTGCGGCTATGAAGAGGGCATAGAGGTCAAAGGCTCAGTCTCCAGACCTGCTCTGTTTTTATTAGATCTATGATGCTGGGCTTATTATTTAAACTTTTAGTTTCAGTTTCTCTGAGCTACCTAAGTCACAGAGTTTTTGTGGAAATGAATTAAGTAATGTTTGTGAAGTGCTTAATGCCATGCTTCAAATAGAGTAATGTTACCCTCTACTGTTTCTAGGGAGGATTCAGAAGTCAACTTTAGATACCAATCTACTGGATATTCCACCTGCAGAATTTAACCTAAGGCCACGAGGTTTGCTACTACTGTTCATCAGCTCATTGCAACAGATGTGTCACTGGTCAGACCCAGTAGGAGATTCTTGACTTGAAAGGGACATGAGGTATTGGGCTAAGGTGGGCATTTCCAGGTCTGAGACTTACTCAAAGGTGCTACGAGCTATAAAAATGGCATAGATGATAAATGGGCAACATATTTTGTCTAACTTTGGTTTTATCCTTGTACCTAACATGATGCATATATATATTCTTCTTAGGTGAGAATCTTACAATTACCTGTGCAAACACCTACCAGTCTGATGTCAAGGTTTTCTGGGGTTTTTTTTACATCTTTATTGGAGTATAATTGCTTTACAATGGTGTGTTAGTAGCTTCCCTCTACTCGAACCAGATTAGCTTAATCATTTGAAAAGCTTTGCCCTCTAGGGCAGGGAATTGGGATACAGACAGGTGTTATAGAACTGCTGTAGGGCTTTTTCAGATCCTGGGACCAAGGTTTCATATTGTGCATGTATTAGGTTCCTCAATACACAGGGGGTTGAAATAGTTAAAAACTAATTGTATAGAAGCAAAAGTAGAGGTTAGAGATTTTAATCGCCTGTCTTTGGTCACTCCCTAAGTGTCTGTCAGTCAGTCAACATTTACTGAGGACTTTCACATATGAGACTTTTCCTGTGGTAGAAAGATAGTATAGATCAAGGCATCTAGAACTCAGAATCTGTTTCTGGCAGATATCAGAGGTAAATATGATAATTACAGGAAGAAAACTTCCTGGATGTTAGGCTCTCCTGAAACGGAGCAGGACACTGTGGTACTTGCCCTCCCCCACCCCATGTCCTCAGCCTGCCTTTTGTCTGTGGAAAAACTTTAGCGGAAGAATAAGTTTAATCAGAGAAGTGAGAAAATGCAGAAACAAAGGAAAACAGTCAAAGGAGACCAAATAATAATCATCATTAAGCACAGTCAAGGACCTTTAGTTCCTCCTTAAGGATTATAGATAATATTCTGAGCCATCTCCTGTGAGCTGTTCTGCAGATACTGAAGCCCCACCAGGTGAGGATGACTACATGAGGACCAAACTGAAGCCATGACATGAGCTACTCCACTTCACACAATTCCGAGAACTGGCCTCAAAGAAATGGGAACAAACCCTGGAACTAAAGATTGACTGTACTTAAAATAACCAAGGTGACACTGATCAGACCACCACGTGACTGGTTTCAAGATGACTGTCTGGCTGTGCTGTTTTGCTCTCTCCCTCCGCCTACAACCCCGAAACTCTCCTTTAAAAGCCCCTGTCCCCTGAGTAGCCATCGGGAGTTGGTTCTCAGACGGGAGCCCACCCTCTCCCCCAGTTGCCAGCCTCCGACATAAAGTAAGCTTTCCATTCCTACCAACACTTGTCTCTTGAATTGGCTCTCAAGAGGCGAGCAGCTGGACCTGGGTTCGGTAACACTCCCAGTTCTATCCTTCAATCCTGATCACCTTCATTGTTCCGTTAATTATTCTTCATCTATATTGCTGTAGTGCTGTAGGATAACGACATTATCAGTCATTTATTTCTCTTCCTGTGAGCAATTTTTTTTTTTTTTTTTTTTTGCGGTACGCGGGCCTCTCACTGTTGTGGCCTCTCCCGTTGCGGAGCACAGGCTCCGGACGTGCGCGCTCAGTGGCCATGGCTCACAGGCCCAGCCGCTCCGCGGCATGTGGGATCTTCCCGGACAGGGGCACGAACCCGTGTCCCCTGTATCGGCAGGCGGACTCTCAACCACTGAGCCACCAGGGAAGCCCCCCCTGTGAGCAATTTTTGATAGTAAAGACAATGGGAAGAGTCAGGAAAGCTATGAGGTACCTCGGAGAGAGGAAAGAGGCTATCACCAAGAGAGGAGAAACAGGCAGTAACACAAGCCAGGGCAGTAGTGTGGCTTATGGAGTGAGGTCCAGCGGGTTCTAGTTAATTCCAACTCTGATATGGGGCAAGGTGTTTTCTTTACAACTCCCACTGCTTGTGGGATGGCGTAATGGTACAACCTTTGAAAAATATTTTGGCAGTTTTGCACAAAGTCAAATATACACTTTCCACATGGCCCAGGCCATTCCACTCCTAGGTATTTACATAAGGGAAACGAAAGCATTTGTCTACACAAAGACTTATACATGAATGTTCATAGCAGCTTTTTTTGTAGTAACTAAAAACTGAAATGTCCATTTACAGTGAATGGATAAACAAGCTGTGGTACATCCATACCTTGGAATACCACTCAACAATCAAAAGGAATAAAACATTGATAACGAACATCATGAATGAACTACAAA